AAATGCACTGGAAAAAAAGACAGTCTCTTCAATAAACGGTGTTGGGAACATTGGACAGCCTCATGCATAAGAATGAAACTGGACCACTTTCTTACACCATACACAAAGATAAATTTACACTCAAAATGGATAAAAGACCTAAATGTGATTCCATCAAATCCTACAAAAAAACACAGGCAGCATCTTCTTTGACCTCAGCTGCAACACCTTCTTCCTAGACATGTCTCCAGAGGCAATGAAAACAAAAGCAAAAACTATTGGGGCTGCATCAGGATGAAAAGCTTCTGCACAGCAAAGGAAATAATCAACCAAACTAAAAGGCAACCTACAGAATGGAAGAAGATGTTCACAAATGATATATCTGATAAAGGTCTATTATCCAAAATCTATTAAGAACTTATCAACTCAAAGCCAAAAAAAACCCAAAAATCCAGTCAAGAAATGGGCAAGTGACATGAACAGACATTTCTCTGAAGAAGACATACAAATGGCCAACAGACATGAAACATCACTCATCTTTAGAGAAATAAAAATCAAATCAACAAGGCAGGAAACAACAAATGTTGGAGAGGATGCGGAGAAAAGGGAACCCTCTTACACTGTTGGTGGGAATGTGAACTGGTGCAGCCACTCTGGAAAACTGTGTGGAGGTTCCTCAAAGAATTAAAAATAGACCTGCCCTACGACCCAGCAATTGCACTGTTAGGGATTTACCCCGAAGATTCAGATGCAATGAAACGCCGGGGCACCTGCACCCCGATGTTTCTAGCAGCCATGTCCACAATAGCCAAACTGTGGAAGGAGCCTCGGTGCCCATCGAAAGATGAATGGATAAAGAAGATGTGGTTTATGTATACAATGGAATATTACTCAGCCATTAGAAACAACAAATACCCACCATTTGCTTCAACGTGGATGGAACTGGAGGGTATTATGCTGAGTGAAGTAAGTCAATCGGAGAAGGACAAACAGTGTATGTTCTCACTTATTTGGGGAATATGAATAATAGTGAAGGGGAATATAAGGGAAGGGAGAAGAAATGTGTGGGAGATATCAGAAAGGGACACAGAACATAAAGACTTCTAACTCTGGGAAATGAACTAGGGGTGGTGGAAGGGGAGGAGGGCGGGGGGTGGGGGTGAATGGGTGACGGGCACGGAGGGGGACACTTGACGGGATGAGCACTGGGTGTTATTCTGTATGTTGGTAAATTGAACACCAATAAAAATTAATTTATAAATAAAAAAAAAATACTCAAATGAAAAAAAAAATAAATAAATAAAATTAGGGTAATTAAAAAAAAAAAAAAAAAAAAAAAAAAAAACCACAATGAAATACTACCTCAAACCATTCAGGATGGATAAATTTAGCAACCTGGGAAATAAGAGATGGGGAAAGGATGCAGAGAAAGTGGAACCCTTTTACAGTTTTGATAGGAATCCACACTGGTGCAGGAATTCTGGAAAATAGAGGATACAGTGGTTGTGAGGATGCAGAGAAAGGGGAACCCTCTTGCACTGTTGGCAGAAATGCAAACTGGTGTAGCCACTCTGGAAAAGAGTATGAGTTTTCTCAAAAAGTTAAAAATAGAACTACCCTGTGACCCAGCAATTGCACTACTCAGTATTTACCCAAAAGAAAAAAAAATACAGGCTCAAAGGGTTACATGAACTCTGGTGTTTTCAGCAGTATTTTCAGCAATAGCTAAAATCAGAGAGCAGCCAAATGTCTATCAACTCATGAATGGATAAAGAAGTGGTATATAGGGGATCCCTGGGTGGCGCAGCGGTTTGGCGCCTGCCTTTGGCCCAGGGTGCGATCCTGGAGACCCGGGATCGAATCCCACGTCGGACTCCCGGTGCATGGAGCCTGCTTCTCCCTCTGCCTGTGTCTCTGCCTCTCTCTCTCTCTCTCTCTCTCTGTGTGTGTGTGTGACTATCATAAATAAATTTAAAAAATTTAAAATAAAGAAGTGGTATATACATGCAATAGAATACTACTCAGCCATCAAAAAGAATGAATTTTTGCCATTTGCAATGAGTTAGATAAAGCTGGAGTGTATTATGCTAAGTGAATTAAGTCAGAGAAAGACAAGTAACATGATCTCCCTCATATGTGGAATATAAAAAAAACCAGATGTACATATGGGAAAGGGGAAAAGAAAAAAGGGAGTGAGGGAAATAAGACATAAGTGACTCTTAATGTTCTAGAATAAACAGAGGGTTAATGGATGGAGGTAGTTGGGAATTGGGCTAGATGAGTGATAGCTATTAAAGGGGACACTTGCTGTGATGAGCACTGGGTGTTGCATGTAGATAGTGAATCCTTGAATTCTACTCCAGAAACCAATATTGCACTGTATGTTAACTAACAATTTTTTGAAGAAAAGAAAGAAATAGACTCTTAATTATAGATAACAAACTGATGTTTACCAGAGGGGAAGAACTGGGGAGGATGGGTTAAATAAGTGATGGGAATTAAGGATTACAGTTGTTGTGATGAGCACAGGGTGGCATATGGAAGTGTTGAATCACTATATTGTACACCTGAAAATAATATAACACTGTATGTCAACTGACTGAAATTAAAATAAAAGCCTTTAAAAAATGAAAAGAAAGATGATCTCTAGTAATGTGGGAAATGTACAAACGTCTCAGTTTTTAAGTATTTGAAAATTGTAAAGTTGTAATTTTGAATTCTGACTAATCTATCTGCTAGATGTGCTTTAAAAGTTTACTTGTGAGCCTCCACTTTCCTTGTCAGCTAATCCTAGTTGCTGTGTACTTATCATATTTTCAATAATTAAGTTTTTCCTTTTTGAGAAAGCCTTGTACATCTGTTTCCTGTCACTTTGTCCTGTGTGGATACGTTTACAATCTTGGTCATTTTATTTCTACTAGCATTTTTTCTAAAGTCATTTATTAATCTTTGTTAAGAATTTCAGCTACACGGATGCCTTGGTGGCTCAGCACTTGAGCATTTGTCTTTGGCTCATGCCGTGATCCTGGGTCCAGGATTGAGTCCCACATCAGGCTCCTTGCGGAAAGCCTGCCTCTCCCTCTGCTTATGTCTCTGCCTCTCTGTGTGTGTCTTTCATGAATAATAAAGTCTTAAAAGAAAAAAGAATTTCATCTACTCATCACTTTGCACAACCAGTTTTAGGTTGTTTTTTGGTTTTTCTTGAGGGAACATATAACTGAAGAATAGAAGAAAAACTGATGTCCAGAGAGCAAAAATGAAGCAGATGTACATAGATAAGGGCCATAACCAAAGGGAATAAGGTAGAGGAGAATTTAAATGATTGATTTGGTTTCTGGTCACTTCCTACTCTGGATTTAGGTTATCAGGAGACCCAGCTATGCTTCTTATTCTTGGATTCCATATGAAACCCTTGGATACTTTCAAAACTTAACCTTTATACCTAAGCTGCTAGAATTTTTATTACTTATAGTTCAATTGTCCATGATTCAAATGTCCAAGATGTCCATGATTGAGACATCTGGTATACAGCACCTAGTCACTATTTTGCTTTTATTGAAAAAAATTCATGTTTTGGGACACCTGAGTGGCTCAGTGGTTGAGCATCTGCTTTGGCTCAGGTTATGATCCTGCGGTCCTGGGATTAAGTCTCGCATTGGGCTCCCTGCAGGAAGCCTGCTTCTCTCTTTGCCTATATCTCTGCCTCTCTCTGTGTGTCTCATGAATAAAAAAAATCTTTACAAAAATAAAAGAAAAATGATATTTCAATTTACCTATTTCTGCTCAAAACTAAATTCTTAAGTTAAACCACATCCACTTGAGAGAATGATATTTATGATTCCAAGCATATTTTTTTTTTGCTAAAAAGGTATTGGTGCAAATAATCAACACTATAGTATAGACCATAAAAAGACTATAGTAGTCTTTTTTCCCATTTCTTTGGAAACATAAAAGAATGAAATGAAAAAGAAATTAGCATAGTTCACCAACCAAAAGCTTTCTAAATAAGTCTTGTGTTAGTCGACTTTCACTAACTTATTTATAAAGGGAAGAAAAAATTTCAGTAGTAGTGTTAGAAAGTAATGACTCTTGGGGTGCCTGGGTGGCTCAATCAGTTAAGCATCTGCCTTTGGCCCAGGTCATGATCTCAGGGTCTTTTTTTTTATAAATTTATTTTTTATTTGTATTCAATTTGCCAACATATAGAATAACACCCAGTGCTCATCCCGTCAAGTGCCCACCTCAGTGCCCGTCACCCAGTCACCCCCACCTCCTGCCCACCTCCCATTCCACCACCCTTAGTTCGTTTCCCAGAGTTAGGAGTCTTTCATGTTCTGTCTCCCTTTCAGATATTTCCCACTCATTTTTTTTTGGGGGGGGGAATATAATAAATAGTGAAAGGGAATAAAGGGGAAAGGAGAAAAAATGATCTCAGGGTCTTGAGATTGAGACTTACATCGGGCTGTCTGCTCAGTGGGGAGTCTACTTCTTCCTTTCCCTCTGCCTGTCTCCCTCTCTCCCTGCTTGTGTTCTTTCTCTCTCTCTCAAATAAGTAAAACCTTAAAAAAGAAAGTAATGACTCTTCACAGAAGTTAATAGCTTGAATTTGTTATAAATTAAAATTTATGTGAAAATTCAAATTATAAAATAAAAGCAAATAGGATTTACAAAATTATTTTCATTTTTTAAAAGGCAAATTCTCCTTCCACAGTTTGGCTATTGTGGACATTGCTGCTATAAACATTGGGGTGCAGGTGTCTCAGCTTTTCACTGCATCTATATCTTTGGCGAATCAAACTCCAATAAAAATAAATGTAAAAAATAAAATTATATGTTCTAAAAAAATAAAATTGCTGGCAATAATTTTTAAAGTTTATATTCAAAATCCATATTGTAAATAGCTATCTTTAGAAAAATAGCAAATATTCTCCAAACTCATCAACTAAACCCTTGAGATTAAAACTCCAAACTAAAAACACACCTACAAATGAATACAAATTATACCAGACTAGTGAACTTACCTCTTTTTCAGACTCTTTAAATGTTGTTTCTTTCTCCTTTACTCGCTGCATAAATTTTTGTTTCAATTCTTCTTCTTCCCTCTGACATTGATCATAGAACTTTTGTCTTTTGGCTTCATAGATCTCTTGAAAACTATAAAAAATACGTTATTACTCTCATATTAAAATGGTAATATAAATAACCCTGTAAAAATATATACTGTATGTTAAGTCCCATGTGAGGGCATTTACCAACATTTTCTTCATGTATAGAAATAGAAATTTCTATATCATGAGGTATAAAAAAAGTGAGGTACGATATTGTAGAATATATAGACAGTGTGCCTAAAGAATACTAGAATTTTGAAACGATATTAGTGATTGCTTGTTACCACCACCTTTCAATATATCACACTTCTTTAGAACTTTTGATAATAAAACTTGGGAAAACCTCTACTTTATATGGTTTTTATTTAAAGCCAGGCAGGGTGCCCGGGTGGCTCAGTAGGTTAAAAGGCTGCGTTCAGCTCAGGTTATGATCCCAGGATCTTGGGATCGGGCTGACATTGGGCTCCCTACTCAGCAGGAGCCTGCTTCTTCCTCTTCTTCTGCTGCTCCTCCTGCTTGTGTGCTCTGTCTCTCTCTGATAAATAAATAATATCTTTAGGGAAGCCTGTGGGGCTCAGCGGTTTAGCTCCGACTTCAGCCCAGGGTATGATCCTGGAGACCCAGGATCGAGTCCCACGTTGGGCTCCCTGCATGGAGCCTGCTTCTCCCTCTGCCTCTGTCTCTGCCTCTGTGTGTGTCTCTCATGAATAAATAAATAAAATCTAAAAAAATCTTAAAAAAATAATGTTGGGCACCATAATATAATAATAATATTATTATCAATTATAATAATAAGCATCATAATCAAAATCATATAGTACTGGCACAAAAATAGACGCATAGATAAATGGAACACATATAAAAATGGAACATAGTAGAGAACCCAAAAACAAACCCAGGTGTATATGATTAATTAATTTATGACAAATGAAGCAAAAATATACAATGGAAAAAGTCTCTTCAATAATTGGTACTGGGAAACTATACAGCTATATGCAAAATTATGAAATTGGACCAGTTTCTTATACCATACACAAAAACAAAGTCAAAATTAATTAAATACCCTAATGTGAAACCTGAAACCATAAAACTTCTGGAAGAGAATATATGCAGTGGTCTCTTGGACACTGACCAACATTTTTCTACCTGTGTCTCCTCAGGCAAAAGAAATAAAAGCAAACATAAACTATTGTGACTACACCAAAATAAGAGGCTTTTGTACAGTGGAGGAAACCATCAAGAAAATGAAAGGCAATCTATTGAATGGAAAAAAATTGCAAATGATATCTCTGATAAAAGGTTAATAACCAAAATATATAAAGAACTTATATGACTATGACTCAACACTAAAAAAAACCCAAAAACTGATTAAAAAATGGCCATAGAAAGTGAATAGACATTTTTCTGATGAATATATACAGATGGCCAACAGACACATAAAAAATGCTCAACATTTCTAACATCAGGAAATGCAAATCAAACCACAATGAGATATCCTCTTATTCCTGATATAATTGCTAGAAGCAAAAAAATAAAAACGTAAAATGTTGGTGAGGATGTGGCAAAAAAGGAGCTCTCATGCATTCTTGAGTAGAATGTAAATTGGTGAAGCCACTGTAGAAAAAAATCATGTTTCCTTAAAAAATTAAAAATAGAAATACCATACGTTCCAGTAATCCCACTACTGGTTATTTTCCCAAAGAAAATGAAAATACTAATTTGAAAAAATAAATAAATAAATCCTTATGTTTATTTCAGCACCATTTATCTTAGCCAAGATATGGAGGCAACCTAAGTTTCCATCAATAGATGAATGGATAAACAAGATGTGGTGTGTGTGTGTGTTAAGAATATTACTCAACCTTAAAAAAGAATAAGATCTCGCTACTTATGACGTGGATGGACCTAGGGAGTATGACACAAGTGAAAAGTCAGACAGAAATAGAAAGAAAAGTACTATATGATTTCATTTGTGTGTGGAATCTAAAAACTAAGCAAAGGAACAAACAAATAAACAAGAAAAGGAGAAACAGAAGAATAAATACAGAGAACAAACTGGTGATTGCTAAAGGGAAGGGGAATAGGAGATGGGCAAAATGGGTGAAAGGGAGTGGGAGGTACTGGCTTCTGGTTACAGTATAAGTAAGTCATGGAGATGAAAAGCACAACATAGGAAATATAGTAAGTGGTATTATAATAGTGTTGTATGGTGACAACTGGTAGCAACACTTGGGGTGAGCATAGCATAATATATAAAGTTATAAAACAATTATGTGTACACCTGAAACTATTGTAATACCAGGCATCAACTATACTTCTTTTTAAAATGATTTTAAGACTGAAAAAAATCTGTTTTTCTTACCATCTTTCTTTAAAAACAATCTCTCTTGCCTCTCAAAATTAAAATTAAAATTTAAGTCCGGCATCTTTCAAAATTTAAATCAGTTCACTTTTGGCTGTCTTCAAATACCTAAAAAATTGATATACCAGTATCACTGGTATACACTGTCATCCTTTGCAGTACAAATCCTAGTCCTCTTAAAATAACTAAATACATCTGCTCTCAAACTATTTTCACTTGACTTCTCCAACATTACTGCTGCTTTTCCTCTTTCTTTCATCCAGCACTCAATGTGATGTCCCTTGCCATTCTCAATATCCTCTGCTAGCCTTTATCTATCTTTGCCAATATTTATTTTTTTAATTTTTATTTATTTATGATAGTGTGTGTGTGTGTGTGTGTGTGTGTGAGAGAGAGAGAGAGAGAGAGAGAGAGAGAGAGAGAGAGAGAGGCAGAGACATAGGCAGAGGGAGAAGCAGGCTCCATGCACCGGGAGCCCGCCGTGGGATTCGATCCTGAGTCTCCAGGATTGTGCCCTGGGCCAAAGGCAGGCGCTAAACCGCTGCGCCACCCAGGGATCCCTCTTTGCCAATATTTAAAATCTCCTTCATGAACATCTATTTCATATAAAATACAAAAGTAAAAACAAGGTAATATTTTTCTTTTGGATACACATTTCAACATATGCACATATTGAATACTCCTATTTGAGCATATAAATGGGTCATTGAATTACATTGCTGTTAATAATTCTCTCCATCTAAGTCCGATGATGATTCAAAAAATACAATTCAGAATGACCAGAATGTGAAATGTACAGTTACTCTCTTTCCCAAATGATTGAATCTCATGGTTTTACAGGATTTCTAAATCTTGTTAGCTTCTTCTGACAAGATCTCTTCCACTCACCTAAGTGGCTTGTTGTCTGGACCCACATCAGTAAAGCCCATTTTCTTCAGTTTGCAGCATCTGTACCGTTCGTAGTGTTGAATGTGGGTTTGTTCTTTCAGGTCTTCCATATTTATACAAAGAAGCATATCCCGGAGCTTGATAAAATCACAGTGATTTTCATTTTCCACTAGGTAGGAAAATAAGAAAGCAACAACACTTATCATCAACTCTTGGCACTCAATAAGTATTCTTGAGTGAATGTATGCATGAGAAACACATTTAAAGTAATAACTAAGAGATCATTATGATTAATAGATATAATTCTTTGTAATTTTTCTGTTATAAGCAGAGCTTGTTTTTGGATCAGGAAGTTTATCTTAAATTTATTAGCCAAAGAATAAATAGGAAAGAGTGAATTAACATGTTATATTATATTAGTGTATGGTATAGTTTTTTGTTAATAATTGTTGGTATTTTACAAGTGCCCCCAAGGTATTTCACAGAGCACTAACAAAGAACGTAACATATAATTTCACTAAAGTAAATAATTTCATAATGTAAATCCTGCTACTATGAAGGCACCAAAAATTATGCATATTTTCATTCTCAAATACTATTTATACCCCATATTTATGAGACCAAATTAGTTACTATTTAAAATCAATCAATAAATTTGCATGGCTCTTTCCTGTGTGTCATATCCAGGCTACTGAGCACAATATATATTTTATTGTGCATGACATTGTAACCAAATTTCATATTAATTAAAATATATTGTTTTTAAGTGTTTCATAAATTTAATTTTTAATGTATCAATTAATAAAACAACATTTTGGAAACTAGTATAAGTGGAGATAATCCAATCTCCAGTAATTTCCATTAAAATTATATAAACCAGAGAATAAGTGACTGCCTGTTAAAATATTTCAACTCATCACAATGTTAGTTTTTTTAAAAAGATTTATTTATTTATTCATGATAGACAGAGAGAGAGAGAGGCAGAGACACAGGAGGAGGGAGAAGCAGGCTCCACGCAGGAGCCCGTCGCGGGACCTCAATCCTGGGACTCCAGGATCGCGCCCTGGGCCAAAGGCAAGCGCTAAACCGCTGAGCCACCCAGGGATCCCCAATGTTAGATAGTTTATATAAATATTTAAGTATAATTTTTCTGGGATAGCCTGGGTGGCTCAGCAAAAGCATCTGCTTTTGGCCCAGGGTGTGATCCTGGAGTCCAAGAATTGAGTCCCACATCAGGCTCCCTGCGAGGAGCCTGCTTCTCCCTCTGCCTGTGTCTCTGTCTCTCTCTGTGTCTCATGAATAAATAAATAAAATATTTTTAAAAAGTATAATTTTTCCAAAGATAAATTACATTCCATTATTTTAAAAATAGTTTACCATACTTTTTGTCTATTGACCATTTAAAAATGTCTTATAAATTAAGTATTAATTAATATATGTAACAGGTTTTAAACACTAGTATTTGTGTTTTAATTTTGTTCAAAGATCTTTTGTTCAAAGCATTTTCCAACATTCTGAATGTAATAATTTATGCACAGAGAGATACTATGCATATGTCAGGTTGGGGTAAATGAAGAGATTCTAGCAAACCTCTGTGAATTTTTGTCTAAAGAACTACCTAGTAAACTCCTATGAGAATGAATTATAGTCAAAGTAAGAATTAGCTTAAATGAAAAATAATTTGTGTTTTTCATTAGTAACTCTTAATTCAGTTTAGCAACAATTACCAGCGCTGACTCAAGGCAAAATATTTTAAGACTCTAAGAATACACACACACACACACACACACACACACACACACACACACACACTTTCCTGAGCAAGCCTGCTCACTTCCATCACATTTACCTTGTAAAACTCCCCAAGGGTACTGACGGCCTCTGACCATTCTTTTTCCAACTTTCACTTCATCCATACTCCCTACTACAGCAAATGGTAATTGTCCCTAAAAGTAAGAAAAACTTTAATCATGTTCCCGTATACCAATATGGCCTACTCTGTTAATTATTTCTGTTTTGGAAATCTATAGAGACAAGAATATCATAATAAGTTTATTCCAATAAGGCATCTACCCTGTCACAGATTTTATGCCTTGGTAGTAAATATGTGCAAATTAATTTTTTCAAGCATTATCATCAAGCCATGCAGACAACTGAGAACTGTCTGCTGAGTAAAGCCAAAAGCAAGGGGTTCTGCTGTGGGAAATACAAATAAAACGTATTTTTATGAGATGCAATATTTTTCATATTATCTTTACCCTGAAATGAAAAAATGTTGAGGAAAGAATAAATAAACCACTTTTAACTCCAGTACAGAAGTTAAAATGGGAAGTATTAAGGAAAAAAACTCTAATAACCAGTTAATGGATATATAATTAGAGTATATTAGTAAATAGTACTATATATGTCTCAGTTAATTCTAAACAAAACTAAAGGGACACTCTGAGATTTGAAAATTAATGTACAACTCAAGCGAGATTTGGGAAGATGATAAGCAAAGTAAGAAGAATAATCAGAAGTAAAAATAAGGCTTTGAGCAGGATGTAAAGACAGAAATATGCAAGATAAATTCATGGTCTGTCAGAAGTTGCATAGATTGAATAGAAGAGTTGATATACAAAAGTATCTAAAATAAAAATTATTAGGCATCATGTTAAGTATTTAATAATTAACAGTATTTAATTTATTAATTAAATCGGGTTAAAAAAAAGTGGGGATCCCTGGGTGGCTCAGCAGTTTGGCGCCTGCCTTTGGCCCAGGGTGCTATCCTGAAGTCCCAGGATCGAGTCCCGCGTCGGGCTCCTGACATGGAGCCTGCTTCTCCCTCCTCCTGTGTCTCTGCCTCTCTCTCTCTCTATGTCTATCATAAATAAATAAATAAATAAATAAATAAATAAATAAATAAATCTTTAAAAAAATAAAAATAAAAAGTATTCTCTATGAATTCCTACAGGTACAATTAGAGAGGCCAAAATCTTTAAGACAAAACTAAAAAAATAACACAGAAGAATAAATAAAAATTTTACAATACTCAGCTTTTCAATTCAGAAAACTGTTTAGTTTGTGAAATCTTAAATGGTGTATGAAAAATAACAAAAGAGAAATTAAAGACACAGAATTAGTACTTATTACTTATTTGTTGTATCTAGACCCTGTGTATCAGGCACTTTGCAAAGATTATGGCCTTTAAACCTCACAAGAAGCCTTAATAGCCATATCAGTGATCCCATAGTGTATATAAGTTAATGGCCTCAAGGAGGATAGGAATTGTACAAGATCTTATGGATTTTTAAAATAGTTTTACTCTTTTATAAAGTTTTTATTTAAATTCAAATTAGTTAACATATAGTGTAGTATTAGTTTCAGGTGTACAATATAGTGATTCAACACTTCCATTCAACACTTGGTGCTCATCACAAGTGCACTCCCTAATCCCCATCTCCTATTTAACCCATCCCCCAAACCCATCTCCCTTCTAATATCCAATCTGTTATCAATAGTTAAGCGTCTGTTTCTTGGCTTCCCTCTCTCTCTATTTTCCTTTGATCATTTGTTTTGTTTCTTAAAGCCCACATATGAGTGAAACCATATGGTATTTGTCTTTTTCTGATTTATTTCCCTTGGCATTATATTCTCTGGCTATATCCATGCCATTGCAAATAGCAAGATTTCATCTTTTATGACTGAATAATATTCCATTATATAAATATACCACATCTTCTTTATCCATTCATCTACTGATGGACAGTTGGACTGCTTCCATAATTTGGCTCTTGTATGGTATCCCTGAGTTACTCAGTGGTTTAGCACCTGCCTTTGGTCCAGGGTGTGATCCTGAAGTCCCAGGACCGAGTCCCACATCAGGCTCCCTGCATGGAGTCTGCTTCTCCCTCTGCCTGTGTCTCTGCCTCTCTTTCTCTGTGTGTCTCTCATGAATAAACAAATAAAATCTTTTTAAAAATTGGCTCTTGAAAAAAAATTGGCTTTTGTAGGGATGCCTGGATAGCTCAGCGGTTAGGCATATGCCTTCAGCTCAGGGCATGATCCCAGGTCTGGGGGATCGAGTCCCACATCTGGCACTCTGCGGGGAGCCTGCTTCTCCCTCTACCTATGTCTGTGTCTCTTGTGAATAAGTAAATAAAATCTTTTTAAAACTTGGCTCTTGTAAATAATACTTTTAAAAAACATAGAGGTGCATTCATCCCTCTGATTTAGTGTTTTTTGTATTTTGGAGATAAATACCAAATAGTGTAACCCCTGGATCATAGGATAGTTCTATTTTTAAATTTCTGAGGAATTTACATACTGTTTCCCTATTTTGTTTCTTAAATTATGATTTTCTTTTTGTTTCCACTTACATATTAAATGTTTTTTCATATCTCCTCCTTTAATCTGAATGTGTCTTTAGGTCTGAATGAATTTCTTATATACAACATATGGGTCTCACTTTGTTATCCATTCAGTAATTCTATGTCTTTGGATTAGAACATTTAAAACATTTACCTTTAAAGTGATTAATGATAAATAGGTACTTTAAAAAATATTTTATTTATTCATGAGAGACACAGAGAAAGAGGCAGAGACACAGGCAGAGGGAGAAGGTGGCCCCTCGTGGGGAGCCTGATATGGGACTCGATCCTGGGTCCAAGATCATGCTCTGAGCCAAAGGCAGAGGCTCAACCACTGAGCCACCCAGGCATCCTGATAAATAGGTACTTATTGTCAGTTATTAGTTGTTTTACAGTTGTTTCATACTTCTTCTCTGTTCCTCCTTCTCTTTCATTCCTCCTTGTGGTTTCATGTTTTTCTCTGGTGTTATTCTTCTATTTTTTTATTTTTATGTCTATTATAGGTTTTTTATTTTTGTTTATCATTCATTATGTTTACATATAACATCTTATGTGTATAGTAGCTTATTTTAAAATGATGGTCACTTAAGTTCTAACCCATATTTTTAAAACTTTTATTTATTTATTTATTTATTTATTTATTTATTTATTTATTTATTTATTTATCTATGAGAGACATACAGAAACAGAGGCAGAGACATAGGCAGAGGGAGAAGCAGGCTCCCTACAGGGAGCCCGATGTGGGACTCAATCCTAGGACCCCAGGTTCATAATGTGAGCTGAAGGCAGATGCTCAACCATTGACCCACCCAGGTGCACCACTAACCCATCTTTAAAAAGCTAAATTTCTATTTCCCCTCTCTACATTCTAAATATGTTATAATTTACATCTTTTTATTTTATTGATTCCTTGATTCATATTTGTGGATAGGATGATATGTGATACGTTTTTTTTTTCGTTTTGTTTTGTTTGTTTAAGTTGAAGTTAGTTAATATATAGTGTATTAGTTTCAGGAGTAGAATTAAGGATTCATCAGTTGTATATAACACCCAATTCTCATTATATCAAGTGCCCTCAAGTGGCTTTGATTTATATTTCCTTGATGATGAGTGATGTTGAGCACTTCTTCATGTGTCTGCTAGCCATTTGTATGTCTTCTTTGGAGAAAAGTCTGTTCGTGACTTCTACCCATTTCTTGACTAGATTTTTTTGTTTTGGGGGTGTTTAGTTTGAGAACTTCTATATAGATTTTTGGATACTAAACCTTTATCTGGTATGTCATTTTTAAATATCTTCCCCTATTTTGTAGGTGGCCTTTTAGTTTGGTGGTTTCCTTTGCTCTGCAAAAGGTTTGGATTTTTGTTGTTTGTTTTTTTCCCGAAGTCCCAATAGTTTATTTTTGCTTTTGTTTCCATTGCCTCTGGAGACGTGTCTAAGAAGAAATTGCAGGGGCCAAGTTGAAAGAAGATGATGCCTCTGCTCCCTAGGATTTTGATGGATTCCCAAATCACATTTAGATGTTTCATCCATTTTGAATTTATTTTTGTATACGGTGTAAGAAAGTGATCCAGTTACATTCTTCTGCATGTGGCAGTCCAATTTTCCCAACACCATTTTTTGAAGAGACTATCTTTTTTCCATTAGATGTTCTTTCCTGCTCTGTCAAAGATTAGTTGACTATAGAATTGGGGGTCTATTTCTGGGTTATTTATTTTGTTTCATTGATCTTTGTGTATGTTTTTGTGCCAGTAACATACTGTCTGGATGATCACAGCTTTGTAATACAGCTTGAAGTCCAGAATTGTGGTTCCTCTAGCTTTGGTTTCCTTTTCAACATTACTTTAACTATTTGGGGTCTTTTGTGATTCCATACAGATTTTAGAATTGCTTGTTCCAAGCATGCTATGTTTTTTAAGTACAGAAGGTAGTTTTGAAATTTAAGTTAACTACCATGTTTATCTTTTCAGGTATGATTTGAGGATCTACGATGACAGATAAGTAGGGGTAAGCTAAGTTTGCCCCATCCTTTGAACGCAGCTAGATAATTATCAAAACAATGTGAACACCCAATAAATTATTCTAAGGGCTGAAAGAACAAAATTGCAAAACTATAAGTAGAAAGTCAACCACTTTCTGGAAGGTAAGAAGTTCAGAGGGAAGATCTGGGGGAGATAAGAACTACAGGGGCTCTGGAGGGGAGGGATCCCTCTTACAGAGACTCCACATGGTAGTATAAGCAGCAAAACATAAAATATTAAGTTTTAGAAATTAGCTGCCACCAAGTCATGGATAGCTTAAAGGAGGGAAGGAGGACAGAGACCCAGGAATGACAGCATGGTCTGAGGATGCCCTGGGATGCAAGAAGAATGGGTGGTGCTAACATGTTACACTGCTCCCAGGCATAAGAGCAGGGAATCTAGCTCAGGGCAGTGAGATTGGATGTCAGATATCTTTTCTTCCTTGCCATAAACCCTAAACCACTGTACAGTAATGTGACTACTTTCTTGGGATGGGCCAGCGAATGGCTAAAGAACCATGAGACCCTGCCCCAGAAGTCCAGCATGGTTCTGCACCACACAAGCTCCTAAAATTTAGA